TCCCCTTTGCCCCGTGCCTGACCTCTCACACTTCAGCGACGACGACGACGACCGTTACCATCATCAGCAGCCGCCACCGCTTTTGGCGGCACTTTTCCCTCCACCGAGCGCGCTCTTTTGCTAGGCTAGACATTTGGCTAGCGTGTCTGTGTGTTTAGATTCGCTTCCTTTATTTACCGACTACTCTCCATCCATCCATCCAAAAGTGTAGGTAGTGTTGTTGTTGTCAGTGGGGTAAATGAGTCAGTGAGGAGAAGAAAAGCGAGAGATGAGCTAATAAAACAAAATGGGTGTGCGAAATGAGAGCATGTGTGTGTGTGTTGTGGTGGTTGTTGTTGTTGATATCAGAAAAAAGACAGTGTAGATGATTTAGAGCAAGAATAATAAGTGACGATGAGAGAGTGTTGCGCTAGTGGTGTGTGAGGGAGAATGTATATCAGAATGAGAGAAATGAGAGAGAGGGGGATTAGAGATGATGGTGCGCGCGCTGCTGCTGGTTCGAAAATGCGAGATGGAGACAGAGATACTTATGCGCCAGGCTTGCCAGTCGGCGCGGCAGCGTTGCCCTTCTTTCCAATCAGATACTTGTGGATGTGAGGAATGACACCTGGGGAAAGGAGTAGATTAGCAAAATGAAGCAGTTTATGGAGGGGGCAAAAGAGCACGTACCACCACCGGCAATGGTTGCCTTGATCAGCGAGTCCAACTCTTCATCGCCGCGAATGGCCAGCTGCAGGTGGCGAGGAGTGATACGCTTCACCTTGAGATCCTTACTGGCGTTACCGGCCAACTCCAAAACCTGAATAAATGCAAAGGGAGAAGAGGGCATTAGTACAAGTGTGCTAAGTGTCGGAGAGTGGTGGTGGTGGTGAGAGGCAGCGCAGACAGGCGGCACACTGCAGAGGATGGGGACGATATTTGGCGCGCAATGTGGCCACCACCGCCGCAGTCGCTGAAGCACGATGGCTGCGGCTGCTGCCAAAGTAGAAACAGCAGCAGCAGCCATCGGCCTCATTGCGACATGATGCAATGGTGGCCACAACAAAAGGCAAGAGAAAGGTGGCTCCTGACGGAAGCTGCACCTCTCTGCAGAACAAGGAAAAGCTGCTACTTCTTTCAACGCACAACTAGTGAAACGCGAAACTACCGGGCTGCTGGCCGATTAAGCGGTGATTAGGTGCCTGATAAGCACACGACGCCGCCGCCATTACGCCTTAACAAAAGATTGAGAGAAAGTTCGAGAAGAGAAGACACTTACTTCGGCGGTGAGGTACTCGAGAATGGCAGCGCTGTAGACGGCAGCGGTGGCACCGANAGAACAAGGAAAAGCTGCTACTTCTTTCAACGCACAACTAGTGAAACGCGAAACTACCGGGCTGCTGGCCGATTAAGCGGTGATTAGGTGCCTGATAAGCACACGACGCCGCCGCCATTACGCCTTAACAAAAGATTGAGAGAAAGTTCGAGAAGAGAAGACACTTACTTCGGCGGTGAGGTACTCGAGAATGGCAGCGCTGTAGACGGCAGCGGTGGCACCGACACGACCGTGCGAGGTAGTTCGGTTCTTCAGATGACGATGGATACGTCCGACGGGAAACTGAAATGAAGAGCCGATTCAAAGATTAGAACATCATCAGTGACCATGATCTCCTTCCGCTTCGACTTACCTGCAGACCAGCACGGGCTGATCGCGAGACGGCCTTGGCCTTTGCCTTTCCAGAGTCCTTACCAGCTTTACCACCGGCCTAAGCGGAGAACACAAAAGATATCACACAACACACATTAGACACAGAGTTGACAAAAGGTGAAGAAGATGGGGAAGAAGACTTCGAAGTTTTTTGGGAAGTAGAAGTCTTCACCGGCATCACTTGAAGCCGGCGCCGAAGACACCGGCGCCCAGAGAAGGATCACACCAGCACACCACTTACCATTGTTGTTGCTGAAGAAGAGCGGTTGGGGTGAGAGAGATGGAGAAGAGAAGACGGCGGTTTGGTCGATGATCACGGGAGAGCGTTGCGAGAGCGAATGATCGGAGAAGAGGAGAGTGCAGGCAGACACAGACAGAAAGACAGAGAGACAGTGGCAGAGGCAGAGAAAGAAAAAGAACGCGGCAAAAGTCGAGCGCGGCGGCACAACGGTGGCGGCGGTTGAACGAGTGAGCTGTGAGGGCGCGGCCGTCGCGCAGAGCCACAGTAGCTGACTGAAGGCGCCGACTCCGCCCTTCTTTTGTGTGCCTCATCTCCTTTGCCCGCTGCTGCTGGCTCCCCCCGGCGAAGCCACTCACTACCAGCCGCTGTGCTTCTCTTCCTCCCTCCCTTCGCTGCGCTTTGCTAGTGAACTCTACTTGCGCGGGAAAACGCCGAGCGCGCGGATCTTCTACCCTACCGGTTGTCAGACATCTCCTCGAAAGGACATCTCCTCGAAACTTTTTTGG